GTGGGGAGGAAGGGCAGGAAGCAGGACCCTCCTGCAGCTCAGGGGTCCTGGGACTCTGGTCTGTGTCCAGTGTCCACTTCGCCATCTGGGGCTAACTAGCTTCTGTATAAGGGCTGGGAAGAGAGTCACAGGGGCTCAGTCCTTACCTCTCTCCTTTGCATCCCCCATAGGAAGAAAACTGTCTACAGGAGTGTGTGCCTGGCCCTGGCCCTGCTGGTGGCCCTGACTGTGTTCCAGCGTAGTCTGACCCCTGGTGAGTTTCTGCAGGAGCACCCGCCACCAACCCTGGAGCCACAGAAGACCCAGAAGCTGAGTGGACACCTGATGAATTTCAATAGCTTCTGGAAGAACCCAAAGGAGATGGCCATCCCCACCCCCACAACCTCACAGGGGCCTCAGTTCTGGGACGTGATAACCACCAACTGCTCAGCCAACATCAACTTGACCCACCAGGCGTGGTTTCGGGGCCTGGAGCCACACTTCCAGCAGTTTCTGCTCTATCGCCACTGCCGATACTTCCCCATGCTACTGAACCACCCAGAGAAGTGCAGGGGTGACGTTTACATGCTGGTGGTTGTCAAGTCGGTCATTACACAGCATGACCGCCGTGAGGTCATCCGCCAGACCTGGGGCCGTGAGCAGGAGGTGGTGGGCGGGAACCGCGGTGCCGTGCGCACCCTCTTTCTACTGGGCACAGCCTCCAAGCAGGAGGAACGGGCTCACTACCAACAGCTGCTGGCCTATGAGGACCGCCTCTATGGCGACATCTTGCAGTGGGACTTTCTTGACAGCTTCTTCAACCTGACACTCAAGGAGATCCACTTCCTCAAGTGGCTTGACACCTTCTGCCACAATGTTCCCTTTGTCTTCAAAGGCGACGATGATGTCTTCGTCAACCCCACCAACCTGCTGGAGTTTCTGGCTGACCGGCAGCCGCATGAGGACCTGTTCGTGGGTGATGTGCTGCAGCATGCCCTGCCCATCCGCAGGAAGGGCAACAAATATTACATCCCCACTGCCCTGTACAGCAAGGCCACCTACCCACCCTACGCGGGTGGTGGCGGCTTCCTGATGGCCGGCGGCCTGGCCCGGCGCCTCTACTACGCCTGCGACACCCTGGAGCTCTACCCCATCGATGATGTCTTCCTGGGCATGTGCCTGGAGGTGCTGGGCGTGCGCCCCATGGCCCACGAAGGCTTCAAGACTTTCGGCATCTCTCGGAACCGAAACAGCCGCATGAATAAGGAGCCCTGCTTTTTCCGCTCCATGCTCGTGGTGCACAAGCTGCTGCCCCCCGAGCTGCTGACCATGTGGGGGCTGGTTCACGGCAACCTCACCTGCTCTCGCAAGCTCCAGGTGCTCTGACCCCGGCCAGACCCCCTAGAGAGGCCTCACAATGTGCACTAGGGCTGGAGCCACAGTGCCGGGGAGGTAGAGGGACTCGGGGCTGACATGCCGCTGGATGTGGTGGGGAGCAGGTAGCTGAACGGGGGCCCTCCCTAGGTGGACACTTCCCAGAAAGTGAGGCCGAGGCCCAGGAACTGTTGGAATAGACTGGAGAAGGTCACTGGGGAGGCAGCCCTCCTCCTGGATCCATTGCCTGGCCCCTCTGACCTGGTAGGGGCCCGGTGGCCCAGAAGGAACCCTGTGCTTAGGTACCTGGGCTGGGCCTGGCCTCGGACAGGTCTGTGGCTGCCCTCTTATCCCCACCGAGATCCTGCTTCCTCTGGGAAATGCCTCAGTCTCCCCGGGGGGTGCAGCCTGGGATAGCGGTCTTTCAGGAGAAGCTCAGCCCTGTGCAGGCTCACGGGCCTCTTATAATCCCCTGGGTCTACTGGGAGATGGTGCCTCAAAAGCCCCTTGGCACACCTGGCTTCACTCCTGGCTGTGTCCTTGGATGCTCCACCTGTCCCCCGCCCCTGGAAGGCATGACAGTCACTCTGACTACCTCAGTGCTCCTCAGAACCTCGGGACAGGCTGCATCCCTCTCCACCCCACCCCGATACCTGGCAGAAGAGCAGTGCTCTGGCCCCCACAGTCCAGGTGCTGCCTGACCCCACCTCCCAGCCCCTGGCCAGAAACCAGCCAGTTTGGCCCTGGAAGTGGACATTTGTCTCTTACTGTGAAGTTTTATTTATGAGGAATTTGAAGGAAGACGGCTCCAGGCCTCAGGAGGTGGTGGCCATCTCCCTGACCCTTCCTCCCCCCACATTCTAATAGATGCCACCTCCCTCCACCACCCCCACAGCACCCCCTGCCCTCACACCCCCTCAAGAGCCCTCCGCTGCCTGCACCCCTCCCTGGGCACACCAACATTTGCCTCTGAAATGATGGGGCCCAGGCCCAGGGCCCATAGGGGTGGGCGCAGAGTCACTTGGGTAAACGTCAAGGGATCCTCTCTATTTTCTCAATAAAAGGGAACTGTGGTTTTTTTCTGGTGTGACACTTCATATTCCAGCTCCATGGAGGGCCCAAATGGGACCCAAGGTGCCTGAAGACAGCTTGTCCCTTCTTGTTCCTGGCTGGGGTGGCGCAGGAGGACCCTGGGAGGAGGCCCCTGGGCAAGGCCTCACCCATTGCAGTCCATGTCGTTTCCAACTCATAGTGACCCCATAGGATGGTAAAACTGCCCCATAGAGTTTCCAAGATTCAAACTGCCAAACTTTTTGGTTAGCAGCCATAGCTCTTAACCACTACACCACCAGGGTTTCTGGGCAAGGCCTTAGAGGGAGCATTAAAGTACAGGGCTTGGGGCGCGGGGGGGCCACCCTCTGCTGGGAGCTTTGGTCTGAGCTGCTTACCGGCTTTCCTCCGGGAGCTCCCTCCCTGCACCCAGGGGGCACCCCAGAGTGAGTGAGATGCCCCCAGAGAGTCATCTGCTTGTTAACATCTACGCTGGGCCCCTCCAGGTGGGAGATGGGCGTGACGAGGTCTTGACATAAAGCAGCAACTTGGCTGTTAGAGATCCCACTGCCTGGAGCCACGCCCTCTGGGAAGGAAGAGGGGGCGTCGCTGCTGCTCTTTCTTCCTCCCTAGCACTGACCCTCCCTCTCCTCTCCTCCCCTCACCCTTGGCACTTGCTACATAATTTACGGGGCCCAGTGCAAATGACAGAAGCCCTGGTGGCACAGTGGTTAAAGCGCTTGGCTGCTAACCAAAAGGTCAGCAGTTGGAACCCACCAGCCTTTTGGCAGGAGAAAGATGTGGCAGTCTGCTTCTATAAAAGATTACAGCCTTGAAAACCCTATGGGGCAGTTTTACTCTGTCCTATAGGGTCGCTATGAGTGGGAATCAACTTGACAGCAACGGTTTGATTTGGTTTTTAGTGCAAAATGAAAATGTGGGGGCCCAGGTTAAAAAAAAAAGTTCAGAATTTCCAGATGGTGACTGCAGAGCATTAACTCCAACTGGGGGTGGCGGGTGGGGGTGCTTCCGAGGCCGGGCCTGTGACTGCACTGGACGTGTGCACCATGGACGCCAGCCCTGTTCTTCGTGCCTCCTCCTCAGGAGTTGGGGCTGTGTTCCCAAACCTGTGTGCAGAGGGCCAGAGGGGAGGGAACCAGCGATGTTTCTGTAGCTGAAAGGAGCTCCTGGGGCTGGGGTGTGGGAAGGAAGGGGGGCTGTCAGGGGCTTTGGGTGTGTGCCAGCCGTGGGAGGCAGCAGAGTGACCCGAGGAACGCCTTGCTCTGGGCTGGCTTGGGGGCGTCTTCAGCAGGGCCAAGTGGAGGCAGCAGGGTCCCACCACGGTCAGGATGGCTAGGAGGCTGCCTCCAGACCCAGCCATTCGGAGGCATTTGCTTCCCTCAGCCTCTGCCCATCGGGGCCTTGGACCAAGCCAGGAGGGGGGTGGTGTCTGCATTAGCTGAAGGAAGGGAGGGATGTCAGGAGGCTGGGGAGCGCAAAGTGGGGAGAAGGCACCTGGCAATGCCCCTTGAGGGAGGAGTATTTACCTGTCGGGGGAGGGGAAAGAAGGGACAGTCCAGGTCCGGGACGTGTACACAAGCCCAGAGCAGCCTGATGTGGACACAGCTGGTGAGGAAAGAGCTGCCGGAGCAAGGTGTGGTCAGACCTTGTTAAGAGTTCCAACACTCCTGCCAGCACCGATGGGCATCCCAGCTTTCAAAGCAGTGCAGAAACGCGATCAGATGGGACCTTAGAAAGACGTCCTCACCCCCAGCCCCCATGTGGGGTGTGGGAAAGTGGCCAGTCCAGGCCTGCGTGCCCAGGTCAGGCTGGGACCATGGCCCAAGGCTTCCCACCTCTGCCTCCAGCTCCTCTGTCCCCTTAGCAGGAGAGACACTTCTGGAAAGAAGAGGCCGGTGCCTGCCCACCCTGAGTCAGCCTGTCCAGAGAATGCCCTGGCCCAGATGTGGCCCCAGCTGACTGCCACCCTCAGCCAGCTCTTGGCCGGGCCTGGCCCTTCCACTCGGCTGACCCTAGTTCCCCCAGGATGCCTAGGAGTGACCTGGGTCCCCAGCTTCCTCAATCCTGGCTGCCTCTGAAGACAGCCCTGACCTTCGAGAGGTATACTGCCCATCATTAGAAGCCCTTGTGGCACAGTGGTTAAAGTGCTCAGCTGCTAACTGAAAGGTCAGCGTTTGGAACCCACCAGCTGCTCCTCAGGAGACAGATGTGGCAGTCTGCTTCCTTAAAGATTTATAGCCTTGGAAACTATGCGGCAGTCCTACTCTGTCCTATAGGGTCACCGTGGTTTTTTATTGCTGATCATTCCAGGAAACAGACTCAAAGTTCATCTGGTATGTCATTCCAGAACCATGGCGAATTTGCCTGCGTTTTGTTTCCAGTAATAATGATAACAATCATCATTTTACGGAGCACACAGGAGATGCCTGGCATTGTGTTAAGCAATTAACATGTGTATAACATGCCTCCTTAACTCAGGGTGCAAATGAGTTTACATTCTAATTTTTCTCATTGATCGCTCGAGTCCCTCATGTACCCTTATTGGCAGAAAATCCAATATCACCCTCTTGGAGCCCACTCACTCCCAATGTGTCCAAGAACTTCAGGGGCTCACTCGAAAAAGTCTGTTCTCTAGAAAGCCTGAAAGTAGCCATTACTTCTCATTCCATACAGTGGTGCTGTCGAACACGGGGCCTGCACAGTCCTGTCGCCCTTGCTGGTCCAGGTTCCTGCACAGGCTGCAGTGAAGCCAAAGTTATCCTTCTCTTAGTCACCCTCACAAGCTCAAACCAATCTTCACCAAAGAATAGCAGCATGTTAGGGGTGCTGGGTCCTGGGGCTCCCAGTCTGCCGGAGGAGCCCCACAAACTCAGATTCTCTCTGTCGTCCTTGTAAAGCGACTTTGCAAGCCTTGAAGCCCTTTCCTGGCAGTAGGTTTTAGTCAGTCCTTAACCTGATCTTGGGGAGCAAGCTGGGAGGAAGGGTCTCAAGCTTTTTCCTCCCTAAAGGCCCTGGGCTTCCTATGTAAATTGTTTACCTCCTCTGCCACCAGCTCAGCTTTCCACGGGGCCTCGAGAAGGGCTGCCTTTGTCAGGCCAAAACGGGTCCTGTTCGGCTCTTCCCCCAGGGCAGTGGGTGCCTACCCAGCCACATTTACATAACTAAAGGGGACCACTCAAAGGGTTCTACCCTTAACAAAGAAAGTCTGTTCGGAGGTGACTTACTTTGTCCACCTAAGCTGAGAAGGAGCCTGGAAGGGAGCCTGGAGGGGAGCTTCTGGAACCGTGTTTATATATACACCACACAACATTGAAATGAAGAACTGCCCCATTGGGTTTCCAAAGAGTGGCTGGTGAATTTTGATTTAGAAATAATATTGGAGCTATTATTCCCTGTCCTTGAGCACAGAGAATGTGACCCAGGTGGAGCTGGTCTCACAAGGACTCACAAGGACACATCAACTGGGCCTGGAGGTATAAAGACAATAGCTAAGATAATCTTGGAAAATGTCTTTTAGGGAAACTTTCACATAAAGCCAATTTAAACAGAACACAGAAGACTTTCTACTCTTATCTTTTTCTATTAGCATTTAGTGAATAGAAATTTGTTGGACCAATGAAGACCCTCCTGACTGTCATTACTAAAACCTGCACCAATGATTGTTAAGAAAGATGATTGAAAATGTAGGAGCACAGTTTCTAGCCAATCTGTGAAAAGGCTAGGCTTTCAATGGTTTTGCCATTTGTAATGTTAATATATACTGATGGCTCTTTAACTGGTCTTTGGACTCGGGCAGACATGGCTGTGGCAGCGTGCTTGTCCGTTTTCCCATTCTTGCCTATTCTTTAATATTCTTTGGACTTGGACAGACGTGGCTCTAGCAACATGCTTGTCCGTTTTCCCACTTTGGTCTGTTCTGTGATATTTCCTTGGACTCGGAC